AGTTACGGGTGGGTAGTCCCGCGAGTGACGGGTGGGTAGTCACGCGAGTGACGGGTGGGTAGTCACGCGAGTGACGGGTGGGTAGTCACGCGAGTGACGGGTGGGTAGTCCCGCGAGTTACGGGTGGGTAGTCCCGCGAGTTACGGGTGGGTAGTCCCGCGAGTGACGGGTGGGTAGTCACGCGAGTGACGGGTGGGTAGTCCCGCGAGTGACGGGTGGGTAGTCGCGCGAGTGACGGGCGAGTAGTCGCGCGAGTGACGGGCGAGTAGTCGCGCGAGTGACGGGCGAGTAGTCGCGCGAGTGACGGGCGAATAGTCGCGCGAGTGACGGGTGGGTAGTCACGGGAGTGACGGACGAGTAGTCACGTGAGTGACGGGTGGATATTCACGCTTGGTTTCTTGAGTGCAACACAGCGAGGGCAACACAGCGAGTGCAACACAGCGAGTGCAACACAGCGAGTGCAACACAGCGAGTGCAACACAGCGAGTGCAACACAACGAGTGCAACACAACGAGTGCAACACAGCGAGTGCAACACAGCGAGTGCAACACAGCGAGTGCAACACAGCGAGTGCAACACAGCGAGTGCAACACAACGAGTGCAACACAACGAGTGCAACACGAGTGCAACACAGCGAGTGCAACACAACGAGTGCAACACAGCGAGTGCAACACAGCGAGTGCAACACAACGAGTGCAACACAGCGAGTGCAACACAGCGAGTGCAACACAGCGAGTGCAACACAGCGAGTGCAACACAGCGAGTGCAACACAGCGAGTGCAACACAACGAGTGCAACACAGCGAGTGCAACACAGCGAGTGCAACACAACGAGTGCAACACGAGTGCAACACGAGTGCAACACAGCGAGTGCAACACAGCGAGTGCAACACAGCGAGTGCAACACAGCGAGTGCAACACAACGAGTGCAACACAGCGAGTGCAACACAGCGAGTGCAACACAACGAGTGCAACAAAAGCGAGTGCAACACAGCGAGTGCAACACAACGAGTGCAACACAGCGAGTGCAACACAGCGAGTGCAACACAGCGAGTGCAACACAACGAGTGCAACACAGCGAGTGCAACACAGCGAGTGCTACACAACGAGTGCAACACAGCGAGTGCAACACAGCGAGTGCAACACAACGAGTGCAACACGAGTGCAACACAACGAGTGCAACACAGCGAGTGCAACACAACGAGTGCAACACAACGAGTGCAACACAGCGAGTGCAACACAACGAGTGCAACACAGCGAGTGCAACACAACGAGTGCAACACGAGTGCAACACAACGAGTGCAACACAGCGAGTGCAACACAACGAGTGCAACACAGCGAGTGCAACACAGCGAGTGCAACACAACGAGTGCAACACAGCGAGTGCAACACAGCGAGTGCAACACAACGAGTGCAACACAGCGAGTGCAACACAACGAGTGCAACACAACGAGTGCAACACAACGAGTGCAACACAGCGAGTGCAACACAACGAGTGCAACACAACGAGTGCAACACAGCGAGTGCAACACAACGAGTGCAACACAGCGAGTGCAACACAGCGAGTGCAACACAGCGAGTGCAACACAACGAGTGCAACACAACGAGTGCAACACGAGTGCAACACAACGAGTGCAACACAGCGAGTGCAACACCAGTTGGATATTGCAAAGCTTAATTCAAAGCTTATTGCTGATATTTTTTCACTTGTCACAGAGCAGCTCTGTGACCTGTTGCTGTGAGTAATTACATGTGTGTACTCGCCTAGTTGGACTCTGCTAGTTGGACTCTCCTAGTTGGACTCTGCTAGTTGGACTTGCCTAGTTGGACTTGCCTAGTTGGACTCTCCTAGTTGGACTCTGCTAGTTGGACTCTGCTAGTTGGACTTGCCTAGTTGGACTCTGCTAGTTGGACTTGCCTAGTTGGACTCTGCTAGTTGGACTTGCCTAGTTGGACTCTGCTAGTTGGACTCGCCTAGTTGGAGACTCCTAGTTGGACTCGCCTAGTTGGAATCTCCTAGTTGGACTCTCCTAGTTGGACTCTTCTAGTTGGACTCGTCTAGTTGGACTCGCCTAGTTGGACTCTCCTAGTTGGACTCTCCTAGTTGGACTCTCTTAGCTGGACTCTCTTAGTTGGACTCTCCTAGTTGGACTCGCCTAGTTGGACTCTCCTAGTTCGACTCTCCAAGTTGGACTCTTCTAGTTGGACTCTTCTAGTTGGACTCTTCTAGTTGGACTCTTCTAGTTGGACCCTGCTAGTTGGACTTACCTAGTTGGACTCTCCTAGTTGGACTCTCCTAGTTGGACTCTCCTAGTTGGACTCTCCTAGTTGGACTCTCCTAGTTGGACTCACCCAGTTGGACTCTTCTAGTTGGACTCTTCTAGTTGGACTCTTCTAGTTGGACCCTGCTAGTTGGACTCTTCTAGTTGGACTCTCCTAGTTGGACTGTCCTTGCACGGGTCAGTTCACAGCTTCTTGCCCAGTGTGTGTACTCGCCTAATTGTGGTTGCAGGGGTCGATACTCAGTTCCTGGTGTGTGTGTGTGTGTGTGTGTGTGTGTGTGTGTGTGTGTGTGTGTGTGTGTGTGTGCGTGCGTGCGTGCGTGCGTGCGCGGGCGCGCGTACGTGTGTACTCACCTAATTGTGGTTGCAGGGGTCGATACTCAGCTCCTGGCCCCACCTCTTCACTGATCGCTACTGGGTCCTCTCTCTCCCTGCTCCATGAGCTTTATCATACCTTGTCTTAAAGCTATGTATGGTTCCTGCCTCCACTACATCACTTTCCAGACTATTCCACTTCCTAACAACTCTGTGACTGAAGAAATACTTCCTAACGTCCCTGTGATTCATCTGTGTCTTCAACTTTCAATTGTGACCTCTTGTTTCTGTGTCCCATCTCAGGAACATCTTGTCTCTGACCACCTTGTCTATTCCTCGCAGTATTTGGTATGTCGTTATCATGTCTCCCCTAACCCTTCTGTCCTCCACTGTCGTCAGGCCGATTTCCCTTAACCACTGTTCGTAGGACATTCCCCTGAGCTCTGGAACTAGTCTTGTTGCAAACCTTTGCACTTTCTCTAATTTCTTGACATGTTTGACCACATGTGGGTTCCAAACAGGTGCTGCATACTCCAGTATGGGCCTGACGTACACAGTGTACAGTGTCTTGAACGATTCCTCATAAAGGTATGGGAACGCTATTCTCAGGTTTGCCAGGCGCCCATATGCTGCAGCAGTTATCTGATTGATGTGTGCTTCTGGCGATGTGCTCGGTATTATACTCACCCCAAGATCTTTCTCCTTGAGCGAGGTTTGCAGTCTTCGGCCTCCTAGCCTACACTGTCTGCGGTCTTCTTTGCCCTTCTCCTATCTTCATTACTTTGCACTTGGTGGGGTTGAACTCCAGGAGCTAGATTCTGGACCAAGCCTGCAGTCTGTCCAGATCCCTCTGTAGTTCTGCCCGGTCTTCGTCCGATTGAATTCTTCTCATCAACTTCACATCATCTGCAAACAGGGACACTTCGGAGTCTATTCCTTCCGTCATGTCGTGTGTGTGTGTGTGTGTGTGTGTGTGAGGCACAAACCCACATGTAAACAAAAGTGGAACACAAGGCTTTAGGTATACATCGACCTCCAAATGAGGTCCTCATCAGCGAATACAGGAGACATAGGACATCATGGTAATATCTCAGAGAAGGACTGTATCACCAACGAAGGTGTCATTACTGTTAGGTTGGGTAAAGTTTGTCAGGAAACAGGACAGTTATTGTTGTTGGGTCACCTGGACTCGGCTGAGCGTCAGGTCACCGGCGTATTAGATACAATTGGCACATCGTCTCGTGGGTAGAAATGTTTCATAACTGCTAAATGAGACGCAGTTTACTATATATTGCGTCCCTCAGCCTAGACTCACGGACCGATTAACTCCTGTTCCACTATTTGTCGTATATATTTTTATGATGGGCATGTTGATAGAGCCACTGGATGCCAAGACTTCTACAAGTTACCCAGACGTCTACTTTTACCTAACGTAGTCTATACAACATTATTACAACTTAAACAATAACTACGAGAAGCTTAATTGTTTATACAAAGAAGTGATACCGTAATACAACTCAGAGAAAACGGCCTATATTTGTATAATAAATTTGATGCAATACACGGTGAAGTATCTGTTCTCTACAATACCTTGCATTGAATGACCTGATAAGACGTATGTCGTACATGTTAAGACGCATGTCGTACATGTTAAGATACATGTCGTACATGTTAAGGCGCATGTCGTACATGTTAAGACGCATGTCGTACATGTTAAGACGTATGTCGTACATGTTAAGACGTATGTCGTACATGTTAAGACGCATGTCGTACATGTTAAGACGCATGTCGTACATGTTAAGACGCATGTCGTACATGTTAAGACGCATGTCGTACATGTTAAGACGCATGTCGTACATGTTAAGACGCATGTCGTACATGTTAAGTAAGACGCATGTCTTACATGTTAAGTAAGACGCATGTCTTACATATGTAAGACATTTGTCGTACATGTTAAGTAAGACGCATGTCTTGCATGATAAGTAAGACACATTTCTTACATGATAAGACATGTCACCCTCTGTCCAGTCAAGAGGATACAGCTGAAGCTACCTTCTCTAGACCGAAGAAGACTGCTCCGTGGGCCAAACATTTCAAAATAGATATCTAACTTTTGGACACGTGTTAACTCGTCACTGACTGACCTACAGGGTTTAGCGGAAAATATAATTATTTTTTTAAACACCGGCAGTCTCCCACCAAGGCAGGGTGATCCGAGAAAAGAAATTAAATGTTTTTCTTGTTAAATTTAGTAATATATACAGGAGAAGGGGTTACTAGCCCCTTGCTCCCGGCATTTTAGTTGCCTCTTACAAAACGTATGGCTTACGGAGGAGGAATTCTGTTCCACTTCCCCATGGAAATACATAATTATAATCACAACATTCCCAGACGTGTTACTCACAGGTAGACGATGCTGTCGTGGCCTCGTATTGGTTCCTCATCCAGAGTTACACTCAGGTTGTTGTCAGCGAAGATCCTGTAGGAAGAGATGACAGTACTGTCTCATGGTCAACATGTGTACTCAAATATTTGCGGTTGCAGGGGTCGAGTCTTAGCTCCTGGCCCCCGCCTCTTCACTGGTTGATACTGGGTCCTCTCTCTCCCTGCTCCATGAGCTTTATCATACCTCGTCTTAAAACTATGTATGGTTCCTGCCTCCACTACGTCACTTTCTAAGCTATTCCACTTCCTGACAACTCTGTGACTGAAGAAATACTTCCTATGTCTAAACACATGCGCGTAGATATGCGCTTCAAACAACAGAGAAGTTAATAAATTAGACACATGTGTAACACTTGGGTACCTGTATTGAGGAGACTTTTCGCTACACAGTGGCTTCGTTAGTCCAGTACAAAGAAGAATAGTCAAGATTAGGAGAGTGAGGTAATCAGTCCCACAGCCTGGACTGTGGACTGATTGCCCCAATCTCCTTCTGATCTTTACATTGTACTCTACCGATGAAGCCGCTGTGTGGCGAAACGTTTCAACAATATAGATACCCAAGTCTAATTTATCAAAAATATACATAAACCATGGAACGGGTGGGGTTTGAAACCCCATGACAAGTGAGACTTTAAACTCACAGGCCAGTGTGTTAACCACTGGGCCAACTGGTTCTAATAATTCATCCAACTAGGTATGAATCTTATTGTAACCAGCTGGCCCAGTGGTTAACGCACTGGCCTGTAAGTTTTAGAACTCGCAATAGTTTCAAACCCCAACCGTTCCGTGGTTTGCAATCGTCTTAATACGATTCCGAGAGTTACATAATATACACAGCTTTTGTGAATGCAACACAGGTTGTAAACAAAGCAACATATGTAAATATTAGTAAATATTGAAACTAGATTTGTCGTATACACTCGGCCACACTGTTGATTTAAATTACATTCCCAGTGCAGTCGAGTATTTAGTAAAATTACTGGTAACACGAGCGGCGCGAACATAAATAGATTAAGCCAGAAATCACCTTTTCGGATAGTGCATGTGTGTACTCACCTGTTTGTACTCATTTGTGGTTGTAGGGGTCGAATCACAGCTCTTGTAGCTGTGTCTTCGCTGGTAGCTATTAGATACACTATCCCTGTTCCAGGAGCTTTATCGTACTGTTTCTTAAAGTTACGTGTGATCCTGCCCCCACTACATCACTCTCCAGCGTGTGTTCTCACGTAGTTGTGGTTGCATGGGTCGAGACATAGCTCCTGGCCCCGCCTCTTCACTGGTTCACTCTTTCTGCTCTATGAGTTTTATAATACCTCTTCTTAAAGCTGTGTATGGATCCTGCCTCCACTACATCACTTCCCAGACTCTGTGACTGAAGAAATACTTCCTAACATCCCTGTGGTTCATCTGAGTCTTCAGTTTCCAACTTGTGTGTTGTGTGTGTGTGTGTGTGTGTGTGTGTGTGTGTGTGTGTGTGTGTGTACTCGTCTAATTGTACTCACCTATTTGTGGTTGCAGGGGTCGAGTCCTAGCTCCTGGCCCCGCCTCTTCACCGGTTGCTACTAGGCCCTCTCTCTCCCCGCTCCATGAGCTTTATCAAACCTCGTCTTAAACGTGTGTGTGTGCGTGCGTGTGTGTGTGTGTACTCTAATTGTACTCGCCTAACTGTGGTTGCAGGGGTCGAAACTCAGCTCCTGGCCCCGCCTCTTCACTGTGTGTGTGTGTTTAGTTGAATGTTTTCCTGTAATTGGATTCTTATTTTTGGGTTCAGTTTATCCTCAAACGGAGATTATTTGATGCTGGTGAATTGATCTTGATTAAAAGAAACAGAAACACCTTTCAATTTTGTAATTATCTACCATTTCTATGTGGATTTAGCCCTTCTTAGTGATTTTTTTTAGTACACAGTCTCCTAGTGAGGCAGGATGACCCAGAAAGGATACACGTTCACCATCATTCATTCAGTAGCTAGAAGTGAGCAGATATTATATTCTAGATGACCACCTCCGGATATTAACATCTCCCACCCCTCCTTCTTCCATGACTCGAGTCCGGCTACATCCCCCACCTCTTCTTCAGAGTCCAGACTCTGTACCTCCCACTTCCATGACTCGAGTCCGGCTACATCCCCCACCTCTCCTTCAGAGACCAGGCTCTGTACCTCCCACTTGCATGACTCGAGTCCGGCTACGTCCCCCACCTCTCCTTCAGAGACCAGGCTCTGTACCTCCCACTTGCATGACTCGAGTCCGGCTACATCCCCCACCTCTTCTTCAGAGTCCAGACTCTGTACCTCCCACTTGCATGACTCGAGTCCGGCTACATCCCCCACCTCTCCTTCAGAGACCAGGCTCTGTACCTCCCACTTGCATGACTCGAGTCCGGCTACGTCCCCCACCTCTCCTTCAGAGACCAGGCTCTGTACCTCCCACTTGCATGACTCGAGTCCGGCTACGTCCCCCACCTCTTCTTCAGAGTCCAGACTCTGTACCTCCCACTTCCATGACTCGAGTCCGGCTACATCCCCCACCTCTCCTTCAGAGACCAGGCTCTGTACCTCCCACTTGCATGACTCGAGTCCGGCTACGTCCCCCACCTCTCCTTCAGAGACCAGGCTCTGTACCTCCCACTTGCATGACTCGAGTCCGGCTACGTCCCCCACCTCTCCTTCAGAGACCAGGCTCTGTACCTCCCACTTGCATGACTCGAGTCCGGCTACGTCCCCACCTCTCCTTCAGAGTCCAGGCTCTGTACCTCCCACTTGCATGACTCGAGTCCGGCTACATCCCCCACCTCTCCTTCAGAGTCCAGGCTCTGTACCTCCCACTTGCATGACTCGAGTCCGGCTACATCCCCCACCTCTCCTTCAGATTCCAGGCTCTGTACCTCCCACTTCCATGACTCGAGTCCGGCTACATCCCCCACCTCTCCTTCAGATTCCAGGCTCTGTACCTCCCACTTCCATGACTCGAGTCCGGCTACATCCCCCACCTCTCCTTCAGAGTCCAGGCTCTGTACCTCCCACTTCCATGACTCGAGTCCGGCTACATCCCCCACCTCTCCTTCAGAGTCCAGGCACTGTATCTCGTCCCTCCCTCCCTTTAGTCCTTTAAACTATACATTTGGTAACTCCACACGTATATTCACACCTCACATTGCTCTCAAACACATCAATACCTTCAGTCTCCTCCTTGCTGCAACGTTTAAAGCCCATACCTCACACCCATATAAGAGTGTTAGTACCTCTGTTGTCTGATACATAATCCCTTTTACCTCCATATATAAAACTTATCTTGTCGCAGACGTTTCGCCCCACCACCTACATTTTTTTATCTTGGTCTCGTAGGTTGGTGTATCTGGAGGTCAACTTGCAGAAATAAAGATTACAATTCTTATTGTGAAGTGATACATATCGTAGAAGGTGACTAAAAGGCCAGGAGCTAGAGGCTAAGATTCGTTAAATTGCTAAAAGTAACGAGAAGATAAATCTCTAATAATAATAATAATCATTATAATATGGTCAATAATCTAATTTCAAGCAATTTTCCAGGTTGACTTTTATAGAGAGGATCAGTCATTAAACAGGTCAAACCATACCACGGGTGGGGATAGAACCCGCGGTCAGAGAGTCTCAAAACTCCAGACCGTCGCGTTAGCCACTGGACCAGCTAGCTACAATAAGATTCATCCAACTAGGTATATTTCTACACCATAGGAAGGTTAGCACAGGCACCACTGTGACCACGAATGCAAGTTTTTACAGACGAATCTCCAGCTAGCGTGGCCGTGACGAACTCTAGCTCAAGTCCCCTCAATGCCGTCAACATGACTCACGAAATCGTAATGACACGATTGCAAACAAACCATACCCCGGGCGGGATTAAGCAGGTAAGTTTGTAAACACCAGCTACACTTGTGAGTGCATTCTTAATCAGCCTGTGATTTACTGTTAGTGTATTACTCAAGTCAATATATATATTAATCTGTTTCAGTAGGATGGCTCTGTTTTCCTGGACAGAGCATCTCTAGGCTCTGGGATATGTTAATTTTGACGTAATTTGTTGTTTTGTCAGCTAGATCTGTAATACTTCCCTGTATGGATCAAGACACGTAACACAGAGAATCCGACTCTCATTATAAATTCAGTTTTGCAGTATCTGATCTAAATGGTCAATCAAAATCCTTACTCGTCCTTAGTAGGAAAGGTTTTAGATACTAATATTAAAAGTGTGACGGTTACAGATTTTAGAATTTTAATACGTGGAATAGTTTTATAATTGTGGTTGTTGATGTGACTTGTTGATGTGACTAGTTGTTGATGTGACTAGTTGTTGATGTGACTTGTTGCTGTGACTAGTTGTTGATGTGACTAGTTGTTGATGTGACGACTTGTTGATGTGACTAGTTGTTGATGTGACGACTTGTTGATGTGACTAGTTGTTGATGTGACGACTTGTTGCTGTGACTAGTTGTTGATGTGACTTGTTGCTGTGACTAGTTGTTGATGTGACTTGTTGCTGTGACTAGTTGTTGATGTGACGACTTGTTGATGTGACTTGTTGCTGTGACTAGTTGTTGATGTGACGACTTGTTGATGTGACTTGTTGCTGTGACTAGTTGTTGATGTGACTTGTTGATGTGACTAGTTGTTGATGTGACGACTTGTTGATGTGACTTGTTGCTGTGACTAGTTGTTGATGTGACTTGTTGCTGTGACTAGTTGTTGATGTGACTTGTTGCTGTGACTAGTTGGGTTGATGTGATAGTTGTTGATGTGACGACTTGTTGATGTGACTTGTTGCTGTGACTAGTTGTTGATGTGACGACTTGTTGATGTGACTTGTTGCTGTGACTAGTTGTTGATGTGACTTGTTGATGTGACTAGTTGTTGATGTGACGACTTGTTGATGTGACTTGTTGCTGTGACTAGTTGTTGATGTGACTTGTTGCTGTGACTAGTTGTTGATGTGACTTGTTGCTGTGACTAGTTGTTGATGTGACTAGTTGTTGATGTGACGACTTGTTGATGTGACTTGTTGCTGTGACTAGTTGTTGATGTGACGACTTGTTGATGTGACTTGTTGCTGTGACTAGTTGTTGATGTGACTTGTTGCTGTGACTAGTTGTTGATGTGACTAGTTGTTGATGTGACGACTTGTTGATGTGACTTGTTGCTGTGACTAGTTGTTGATGTGACGACTTGTTGATGTGACTTGTTGCTGTGACTAGTTGTTGATGTGACTTGTTGCTGTGACTAGTTGTTGATGTGACTTGTTGCTGTGACTTGTTGATGTGACTTGTTGCTGTGACTAGTTGTTGATGTGACTTGTTGCTGTGACTAGTTGTTGATGTGACTTGTTGCTGTGACTAGTTGTTGATGTGACTTGTTGCTGTGACTAGTTGTTGATTGTGACTTGTTGCTGTGACTAGTTGTTGATGTGACTTGTTGCTGTGACTAGTTGTTGATGTGACTTGTTGCTGTGACTAGTTGTTGCTGTGACTTGTTGATGTGACTAGTTGTTGATGTGACGACTTGTTGATGTGACTTGTTGCTGTGACTAGTTGTTGATGTGACTTGTTGCTGTGACTAGTTGTTGATGTGACTTGTTGCTGTGACTTGTTGATGTGACTTGTTGCTGTGACTAGTTGTTGATGTGACTTGATGCTGTGACTAGTTGATGTGACTTGTTGCTGTGACTAGTTGTTGATGTGACTTGTTGCTGTGACTTGTTGCTGTGACTAGTTGTTGATGTGACTTGTTGCTGTGACTAGTTGTTGATGTGACTTGATGCTGTGACTAGTTGTTGATGTGACTTGTTGCTGTGACTTGTTGCTGTGACTAGTTGTTGATGTGACTAGTTGTTGATGTGACGACTTGTTGCTGTGACTTGTTGCTGTGACTAGTTGTTGATGTGACGTTGCTGTGACTAGTTGTTGATGTGACTTGTTGCTGTGACTAGTTGTTGATATGACTTGTTGCTGTGACTAGTTGTTGATGTGACGACTTGTTGATGTGACGACTTGTTGATGTGACTTGTTGATGTGACGACTTGATGTGACTTGTTGCTGTGACTAGTTGTTGATGTGACTAGTTGTTGATGTGACGACTTGTTGCTGTGACTAGTTGTTGATGTGACTAGTTGTTGATGTGACGACTTGTTGATGTGACTAGTTGATGTGACGACTTGTTGATGTGACTTGTTGATGTGACGACTTGTTGATGTGACGACTTGATGTGACGACTTGTTGATGTAACGACTTGATGTGACGACTTGTTGATGTGACTAGTTGTTGATGTGACTTGTTGATGTGACGACTTGTTGATGTGACGACTTGTTGATGTGACGAATTGTTGATGTGACTTGATGTGACTAGTTGATGTGACTTGTTGATGTGACTAGTTGTTGAAGTGACGACTTGTTGATGTGACGACTTGATGTGACTAGTTGTTGATGTGACGACTTGTTGATGTGACGACTTGTTGATGTGACTAGTTGTTGATGTGACTTCTTGATGTGACTAGTTGTTGCTGTGACTTGTTGATGTGACTTGTTGCTGTGAGTTGATGTGACTTGTTGATGTGACTTGTTGCTGTGAGTTGTTGCTGTGACTTGTTGATGTGACTTGATGTGAGTTGTTGCTGTGACTTGTTGCTGTGACTTGTTGATGTGACTTGATGTGAGTTGCTGTGAGTTGTTGATGTGACTTGTTGATGTGACTTGTTGATGTGACTTGTTGATGTGACTTGTTGATGTGAGTTGTTGCTGTGACTAGTTGTTCCTGTGACTTGATGGGAGTTGTTGCTGTGACTTGTTGATGTGACTTGATGTGAGTTGTTGCTGTGAGTTGATGTGACTTGTTGATGTGAGTAGTTGCTGTGAGTTGTTGCTGTAACTTGTTGATGTGATTTGTTGATGTGAGTTGTTGCTGTGACTTGTTGATGTGACTTGTTGATGTGATTTGTTGCTGTGACTTGTTGATGTGACTTGTTGATGTGAGTTGATGTGACTTGTTGATGTGACTTGTTGATGTGAGTTGTTGCTGTGACTATTTGTTGCTGTGACTTGTTGATGTGACTTGTTGATGTGAGTTGTTGCTGTGAGTTGTTGCTGTGAGTTGTTGCTGTGACTTGATGTGACTTGTTGATGTGACTTGTTGATGTGACTTGTTGATGTGAGTTGTTGCTGTGAGTTGTTGCTGTGACTTGTTGATGTGACTTGTTGATGTGACTTGTTGATGTGAGTTGTTGCTGTGACTTGTTGATGTGACTTGTTGCTGTAAGTTGTTGATGTGACTTGTTGATGTGAGTTGTTGCTGTGACTTGTTGGTGACTTGTTGCTTTGAGTTGTTTCTGTGACTTGTTGATGTGACTTGTTGATGTGAGTTGTTGCTGTGAGTTGATGTGACTTGTTGATGTGACTTGTTAATGTGACTTGTTGATGTGACTTGTTGATGTGACTTGTTGATGGGACTTGATGTGACTTGTTAATGTGACTTGTTGATGTGACTTATTGATGGGACTTGATGTGACTTGTTGCTGTGACTTGTTGATGTGCACTTGTTGGTGTGTACCTGATGATGTGTACTTGTTGATGTGCACTTGTTGATGTGTACTTGATGGTGTGCACTTGTTGAAGGTGTGTACTTGTTGAAGGTGTGTACTTGTTGATGTTGTGTACTTGATGAAGGTGTGTACTTGTTGATGTTGTGTACTTGATGAAGGTGTGTACTTGTTGATGTTGTGTACTTGGTGATGGTGTGTACGTGTTGATGTTATGTACTTGCTGATGTTGTGTACTTGTTGATGTTATGTACTTGCTGATGTTGTGTACTTGTTGATGTTGTGTACTTGTTGATGCTGTGTACTTGTTGATGCTGTGTACTTGTTGATGGTGTGTACTTGTTGATGCTATGTACCTGTTGATGTTGTGTACTTGTTGATGCTGTGTACTTGTTGATGCTGTGTACTTGTTGATGCTGTGTACTTGTTGATTCTGTGCACTTGTTGATGCTGTGTACTTGTTGATGCTGTGTACTTGTTGGTGTGCACTTGTTGATACTGTGTACTTGTTGATGCTGTGTACTTGTTGATGTGTACTTGTTGATGCTGTGTACTTGTTGATGATATGTACTTGTTGATGGTGTGCACCTGTTGATGCTATGTACTTGTTGATGCTGTGTACTTGTTGGTGTGCACTTGTTGATACTGTGTACTTGTTGATGCTGTGTACTTGTTGATGTGTACTTGTTGATGCTGTGTACTTGTTGATGCTGTGTACTTGTTGATGCTGTGTACTTGTTGATGGTGTGCACTTGTTGATGCTGTGTACTTGTTGATGCTGTGTACTTGTTGATGCTGTGTACTTGTTGATGCTGTGTACTTGTTGGTGTGCACTCGTTGATGCTGTGTACTTGTTGATGCTGTGTACTTGATGCCGTGCATTTGATGCCGTGCATTTGATGCCGTGCACTTGTTGATACCGTGCACGTGTTATTGATGACATTCACTTGTGATTGCAACTGTGCACTTAATGATGCCGTGCACTTGATACCATTAATTAGTTGTTGATGCCGTGCACTTGTTAGAGCAAGGCTTTGTCATTGATGCCGTGCATTGTTAATGCAATTGCTCTTGTTGATGCCGTGCATTTATTAATGCCGTACACTTAATACTGTGCAGTTAATGCCGTGCGATTTATTCCGTGCAGTTGTTACCGTGCAGTTACTAATGCCGTGCAGTTATTAATGCCGTGCAGTTAATGCCGTGCATTTATTAATACCGTGTAGTTAATGCCGTGCAGTTATTAATACCGTGTAGTTAATGCCGTGTCGTTAAAGCCGTTCAGTTATTAATACCGTGTAGTTAATGCCGTGCAGCTATTAATACCGTGTAGTTAATGCCGTGCAGTTATTAATACCGTGTAGTTAATGCCGTGCAGTTAATGCCGTGCAGTTATTAATACCGTGTAGTTAATGCCGTGCAGCTATTAATACCGTGTAGTTAATGCCGTGCAGCTATTAATACCGTGCAGTTATGCCGCGCAGTTAATACGTGCAAAGTGGGAGAGAATAAAGGCCGTAAATAGTGGCTGGAGGAGTCAGTTGATCAAGTGAAATCGATGGCTTAAACTTCATCCTGATCTTTATTTGTGTCTCATAGCAATAAAAAGGAATTGAAATGAGCCTATGTAGGCAACAGCTCTTAGCTTGTAAATAAAGGTGTAAAATCCGGTGTAAAAGTGAGAGAGAGAGAGAGAGAGAGAGAGAGAGAGGAAGTGGGTGGTAGTCAGGTGCAAGATGGTGTAAGTGGAGACTGACTTGTCTTTCTTACTGTGTCAAACGGCTCTCTGGATGTATTTTCTGAGATCACAGGGTCGTCGAAATGCTTTTTTGAACGATTATGTTGGAGGTGACGATGCATATGTAAATATTATGCGGTAGAATCACTTAAAATCTCGCTCCCTTGAGCTAAGTTTTGCATGTCTCCAACATATGAGATGTCCTCAGTGTTCCTCTAACGTTACATGCATTGCAAGTGACATCCCTGTTGAGGGAGTTTTTCTTGTTCATTGATTTTTGTGGGCAAGTCTCTCCTGTTTGTCCCGTGTAAACTTTGCCGCACTACCCACACGGTATGTAGACTCGTTGATCATGAAAGGGAGTGTTCACTGGAGAGTTATTCTTCGTGATTTCACTAATTAAAGCCACTGTATAAATGGCATGTATATTTTGGAGTGTGTTGTGCTGTAGCCCCGTCACTGAAAAGTAACACCGGAAATACACAACCCGCACATAGAATTAAATTTGTGATACAGCTTCGATTCGACTTAAATCATTAACTAGTCACACACAAGTGCGAAGAAAAGAGATCCAGTATACAGGGAGGCCACAAAAATACTCCTTGATTTCAAACAAGTACATTGGATCTTCGAATTTCATTATCCATTTTCGGTATGTAAAACGGTAGTTATTCTCTATAGTTATTACATAGTTATTCTCAAAAATATATTTTTTTATTTCTTATGGGAAATATTAATAAATACATACCACGAGCGGGATTGAACCCGCGGTCAGAGAGTCTCAAAACTCCAGACCGTCGCGTTAGCCACTAGACCAGCTAGCCACAATAAGATTCGTCCAACTAGGTATATTTCTACACCATAGGAAGGTTGTGGCTAGCTGGTCCAGTGGCTAACGCGACGGTCTGGAGTTTTGAGACTCTCTGACCGCGGGTTCAATCCCGCCCTTGGTATGGTTTGTTTGCAATCGTGTCATTACGATTTCGTGAGTCAATTTTTCCCAATTAGCAGCTTCAGATGCAGGATATCATTCAGTGTTATGTATTATAAGGCAGCATTAAAGGCAGTCAGTGTCCGCCCCTCTTGTTGTTAGGTAAGACACATATGCAACAGTTAGGCATCTTTATTTCGAAACGTTTCGCCTACGTAGTAGGCTTCTTCAGTCGAGCACAAAAGCCTACTATGTAGGCGAAACGTTTGGAAATGAAGATACCTAACTGTGGCATATGTGTCTTACCTAAGAACCTGTCGGTATTTTATACCATTTTAATATCCGCCCCTCTGGTTGCTCGGTAAACATCGAAGTGATATTCCAGTTGGGTCCAGACGCTTTCCAGGATATCTGTTGTTATGCGAACTGCTTCAGTGATCGAAATTTTCAGCTCCTCCAGGGTTGCAGGTAGTGGTGGTACGTAAACTGTGCTCTTCACGTACCTCCAAAGATGTCACAAACAGGTCCGGGGACTTCGCAGGCCACTTTCAGAGGTGACCAGTGATAGCAGGTGTCTTAAGGAGACTCCCAGTGTTTCCATCGATATCGGGGATCGAGCCAGGGGTCTCAGTGTGTGAGATGAGTGCGCTAGCAACCTAGCTAAGGGACTTACGTATTCCCCCAGCGTAAATTAAGTCTAGTTATTCTGGAAGGTTCATAGGTTGCTGTGAGGTTCCTAGGTTGCTGTGAGGTTCCTAGGTTGCTGAGAGGTTCCTAGGTTGCTGTGAGGTTCCTAGCTCCGAGCTTGTTGTGAGGTTCCAAGCTCCGACCTTGTTGTGAGGTCCCTAGCTTGCTGTGAGGTTCCTAGCTCCGAGCTTGTTGAGAGGTCCCTAGCTTGCTGTGAGGTTTCTAGCTCCGAGCTTGTTGTGAGGTTCCTAGCCCCTAGCTTGCTGTGAGGTTCCTAGCTTGTTGTGAGGTTCCTAGCTCCTAGCTTGCTGTGAGGTTCCAAGCTCCGAGCTTGTTGTGAGGTCCCTAGCTTGCTGTGAGGTTCCTAGCTCCGAGCTTCTTGTGAGGTCCCTAGCTTGCTGTGAGGTTCCTAGCTCCGAGCTTGTTGTGAGGTTCCTAGCCCCTAGCTTGCTGTGAGGTTCCTAGCTTGTTGTGAGGTTCCTAGCTCCTAGCTTGCTGTGAGGTTCCTAGCTCCGAGCTTGTTGTGAGGTTTCTAGCTCCTAGCTTGTTGTGAGGTTCCTAGCTCCTAGCTTGCAGTGAGGTTCCTAACTCCTAGCTTGCTGTGAGGTTCCTAACTCCTGGCTTGCTGTGAGGTTTCTAGCTCCTAGCTTGTTGTGAGGTTCCTAGCACCTAGTTTGTGAAGTTCCTAGCTCCTAGCTTGTTGTGAGGTTCCTAGCCTCTAGCTTGTTGTGAGGTTCATAACTCCTAGCTTGCTATGAGGTTCCTAACTCCTAGCTTGCTGTGAGGTTCCTAGCTCCTAGCTTGCTGTGAGGTTCCTAGCTCCTAGCTTGAGGTTCCTATCTTCTAGCTTGTAAGGTTCCTAGCTCCTAGCTTGTGAGGTTCCTAGCTCCTAGCTTGTGAGGTTCCTAGCTCCTAGCTTGTGAGGATCCTAGCTCCTAGCTTGTGAGGTTCCTAGCTCCTAGCTTGTGAGGTTCCTAGCTCCTAGCTTGTAAGGATCCTAGCTCCTAGCTTGTGAGGATCCTAGCTCCTAGCTTGTGAGGTTCCTAGCTCCTAGCTTGTGAGGTTTCTAACTCCTAGCTTGTGAGGTTCCTAGCTCCTAGCTTAAAAGGTTCCTAGCTCGTGAGGTTCCTGGCTCCTAGCTTGTGAGGTTCCTAGCTCCTAGCTTGTGAGGTTCCTAGCTCCTAGCTTGTGAGGATCTTAGCTCCTAACTTGAGGTTCCTAGCTCCTAGCTTGTGAGGTTCCTAGCTCGTAGCTTGTAAGGATCCTAGCTCCTAGCTTGTGAGGTTCCTAGCTCGTAGCTTGTAAGGATCCTAGCTCGTAGCTTGTGAGGTTCCCAGCTCCTAGCTTGTGAGGTTCCTAGCTCCTAGCTTGTGAGGTTCCTAGCTCCTAGTTTGTGAGGATCTTAGCTCCTAACTTGAGGTTCCTAGCTCCTAGCTTGTGAGGTTCCTAGCTCGTAGCTTGTAAGGATCCTAGCTTCTAGCTTGTGAGGTTCTTAGCTCCTAGCTTGTGAGGTTCCTAGCTCCTAGCTTGTGAGGTTCCTAACTCCTAGCTTGTGAGGTTCTTAGCTCCTAGCTTTTGAGGTTCCTAGCTTGTGAGGTTCCTAGCTCCTAGCTTGAGGTTCCTAGTTCCTAGCATTTGAGGTTCCTAGCTTCTAGCTTGTGAGGTTCCTAGCTCCTAGCTTGTGAGGTTCCTAGCTCCTAGCTTGTGAGGTTCCTAGCTCCTAGCTCGTGAGGTTCCTAGCTCCAAGCTTGTGAGGTTCCTAGCTCCTAGCTTGTGAGGTTCCTAGTTTCTAGCTTGTGAGGTTCCTAGTTTCTAGCTTGTGAGGTTCCTAGCTCCTAGCTTGTGAGGTTCCTAGCTCCTAGCTTGTGAGGTTCCTAGCTCCTAACTTGTGAGGTTCCTAGCTCCTAGCTTGTGAGGTTCCTAGCTCCTAGCTTGTGAGGTTCCTAGCTCCTAGCTTGTGAGGTTCCTAGCTCCTAGCTTGAGGTTCCTAGCTCCTAGCTTGTGAGGTTCCTAGCTCCTAGCTTGTGAGGTTCCTAGCTCCTAGCTTGTGAGGTTCCTAGCTCCTAGCTTGTGAGGTTCCTAGCTCCTAGCTCGTGAGGTTCCTAGCTCCAAGCTTGTGAGGTTCCTAGCTCCTAGCTTGTGAGGTTCCTAGCTCCTAGCTTGTGAGGTTCTTAGCTCCTAGCTTGTGAGGTTCCTAGCTCCTAACTTGTGAGGTTCCTAGCTCCTAGCTTGTGAGGTTCCTAGCTCCTAGCTTGTTGTACGTGGATCAATATATATCCTCTCCCGCACTTTGTCACGCCAGAGTTCAACTTCCTTGCTACAGGAGCTCATTTTACCCACCATTTGACCATTTTACCCATCATATGACCATTTTCTTCACCATTTGACCATTTTTCGTACCATCTGACTTAACTCCCCATTATTTCGATCATTTTTCCCTATCCTTTGACCATTCTCCCGCTACTATTTGAGCATTTTCTCCACTATTTGACCATTTTCCCCCACCACTTGACCATTTTACCCACCATTTGACCATTTTCTCCACTATTTGACAATTTTCCCCCACGTGACCATCCAATTCCACCATTTGACCATTTCCCCCCACCACTTGACCATTTTCCCCACCATTTGACAATTTTCCCCCACCACTTGATCATTTTCCCCACCATTTGACAATTTTCCCCCACAATTTGACCATTTTTCCCACCATTTGACCATTTTAGTCCATTTGACAATTTTCCCTCTATATTTGACAATTTTCCCCCACATTTGACAATTTTCCCCCACCATTTGACAATTTTCCCCACCATTTGACAATTTTCCCCCACCATTTGACAATTTTCTCCCACCATTTGACAACTTTTCCCCACCATTTCACAATTTTCCCCTACCATTTGACAATTTTCCCCTACCATTTGACAATTTCCCCCCACCATTTGACAATTTCCCCTACCATTTGACAATTTCCCCCTACCATTTGACAATTTTCCCCTACCATTTGACAATTTTCCCCTACCATTTGACCATTTTCCACACCACTTGACCATTTTCCCCCACCACTTGACAATTTTCCCCACAATTTCACCTTTGATCTGTTATTACCTTCACGATCAGAAAGTCACACCGTGGTCATAGAATTCGAAACTAACAAACTGCTAACGATACTTGACACGTTTCGATCCGTTACTTGACACGTTACGTACCGAAACATCGAGTTAATCTTCCCAGATTATAAATTAGCTATAAGCCTTTCTCCCAGGCCTATTACAGTAATTTTCTGAACTCCTTGTATTTACAACCTCCTGTACACTAAACCATAACACGGGTGGGGTTTGAACCCGCGGTTTGAGACTGACCGCAGGTTCAAACCCCACCCGTGTTATGGTTTGTTTACAATCGTGTCATTACGATTATAATAACACGATTGTACACATTTAAACACTACCTTCTCCGCTAATAACAAGAAAAAACACAATACCGTGACTGGAAAAACACACAAAAACCCACACCAGAGAGCAGCTTACGACGACGTTTAAATGGCCAAAATTTCGAACCGAAAGTTGTGAGTTCCTCCTTCACGTTCGGGATATTTTTGAAAGTTTCCCCCTAGCTTGTCTTAAAGATTAATACTCAACCCGGGTTGTGTTATTTTTCGACGTTGGAAGTACGGAGGTTGAGTCCTGACAGTCAGCCCCCAGGGGTGGCACGGCACCGGGCACTTGCCTCGAGCAGGGAACGCTGAAACAACAAGAAGTTCCACTTTATTAAACTAAATTTTGCCCAATGTCACCTGTTCCCACTCATTTTTTTTGCCTGGGGTTTTGTGTCATGTGGTATTCTGTCATGGGGTATTGTGTCGTGTGGTATTGCTTCATGTGGTATTGCTGTCAGTGTGGTATTGCTCATTGTGGTATTGCTGTAGTGTGGTTTGCTGTAAATTGTGGTATTGCGTCAGTGTGGTATTGCTGTCTTTGTTTTTGCTGTCATTGGGGTATTGTGTCAGTGTGGTTTTGCTGTCAGTGTGGATTCGTCATTGGGATTGCTGCATTGGGGTATTGCGCAGTGTGGTATTGCGTCAGTGGGGTTATGCGTCAGTGGGGTTTTGCTGTCGTGTGGTATTGCCTTCAGTGTGGTATTGCTGTCTTGTGGTATTGCGTCTTGTGGATTGTGTCAGTGTGTTTTGCTGTCTTTGGGGTTTTGCTGTCATGTGGTATTGCTGTCATGTGGTATTGCTGTCATTGTGGTATTGCGTAAAAGGGGGTATTGCTGTCATTGTGGTATTGCTGTCGGTGGATTGCTGTAAATGTGGTATTGCTGTCAGGTGGTATTGCTGTCATGTGGTATTGCGTCAGGGGGTTTTGCTGTCAATGTGGTTTTGCTGTCAGGGTGGTTTTGCTGTCAGTGTGGTATTGGTCATTTGGGGTTTTTGCTGCAAGTGGTATGCTGTCATTTTTGTTTGCTGCATTGGTTTTGCTGTCAGTGTGGTATTGCTGTCAGTGTGGTATTGCTGTCAGTGTGGTATTGCTGTCAGTGTGGTATTGCTGTCAATGTGGTATTGCTGTCAGTGTGGTATTGCTGTCAGTGTGGTATTGCTGTCAGTGTGGTATTGCTGTCAGTGTGGTATTGCTGTCAGTGTGGATTGCTGTCATTTTGGTTTTGCTTAAGGGGGGTTTTTGGGGTTTTCATGGGGTATTGCTGTCAGGTGGTTTTGTTTTAAGTGGGTATTGCTGTCATGGGGTTTTTTCTGTCAGTGGGGTATTCTTTAAGTGGGGTATTGTTTTAAGTGGGATTGCTGTCAGGGGTATTGCTGTTATGGGGTTATTGCTGTCATGTGGTATTGCTGTCGGTGGTTTTGTTTTAAGTGTGGTATGCTGTCAGTGTGGTTTTTGCTGTCAGTGGGTATTGCTTTAAGTGTGGTATTTTTTTCATTGGTATTGCTGTCAGTGTGGTATTGCTGTCAGTGTGGTATTGCTTTAAGTGTGGTATTGCTGTCAGTGTGGTATTGCTGTCAGTGTGGTATTGCTGTCAGTGGGTATTGTCCAGTGTGGTTTTGTCTCAGTGGGGTATTGCCCAGGTGGTATTGCTCTCAGTGTGGTATTGCTGTCAGTGGGGTATTGCTTTAAGTGGGGTATTGCTGTCAGTTTTGGTTTTCTGTCATGTGGTATTGCTGTCGTGTGGCTTTGCTTTAAGTGTGTATTTTTTTAAGTGTGGTTTTGCTGTCATGGGATTGCTGTCATGTGGTATTGCTGCAGTGGGGTTTTTGTGTCAGTGTGATTGCTGTCAGGTGTATTGCTTCTGTGGTATTGCTGTCAGTGTGGTTTGCTGTCAGTGTGGTATTGCTGTCAGGGGTTTGCTGTCAGTGTGATATTGCGTCAGGGGGTTTTGCTGTCTGCATTTTATTGCTGTTTGCTTGTATTGCTGTTATGTTGTATTGCTGTCATTTTGTATTGTTGCAGTGTGGTTTTTGGGCAGTGTTTTTTTTGTCGTGGGTACTGCTGTCATGTTTTTTTGCTGTCAGTGTGAATTGTGTCATTTTTTATTGCGTCAGTGGGGTTTTTTTGCGTCGACGTGGTATTGCGTCGGGTGGTATTGCTTTCGGTGTGGTTTTGCTGTCATTGGGCATTGCTGTCAGCTGGTATTGCTGTCACGTGGTATTGCTGTCGGGGGGGGTTTGCTGTCACTGGTATTGCTGTCACTCGGGTATGTCAGTGTGGTACTGCGCACTTGGTACGCTGTCATTGTGGTACTGCTGTCACTGTCACTGTGGCACTTCTATCACGTGGTATTGCTGTATGGGGACTTTTGTCAGGGTTTTTGCGTCAGTGGTACTGCTTCACTGTGATACTGCTGTCAGGGGTATGTTGCACTGGATTGCGTCACTGTGGTACTGCTTCACTGTGGTACTGCGTCACTGGGGTTGCTGTCACTGTGGTACTGTTTGTCACTGTGGCATTGCTGTCACTGTGGTAGCTGTCACTGTGGTACTTTTTGTCACGGTATTGCTGTCACTGTGGACGCTTCACTGGGGACTCTGTCATGGGGCATTGCTGTCATTTTGGGTACGCTGTCCGTGTACGCTTCCTGTGGACTGCTGCATGGGAATCCTGCCACTGTGGTTTGCGTCACGGGTTTTGCTGCACTGTGGTACTGCTGTCATTGGGGTACTGCTGTCACGGGGTAGCGCACGTGGTACACTGTCAGGGAATTGCTGTCACTGGGAAAATTCTGTCGCGGATGCCCCACTGGGTACGTCACTGTGGTACTGCTCTTGGAAATGCCCACTCTGGTTTTTGCTGTCACGGTGTTCTTAGATTTTGGTCCCTTTGTTAATTCCTTCTTCTATCTACGGTGTTTTTTTTTCCCTTGGGTTTTTTATTTCCCCTATCTCGGTCCCTTGTTGGTTTCTATCAACTGGGTTGATAGTCAATCAATAATTGAATGGGAAGTTTGCCTGGTGGTAAAATTTATTCGGGGGTGTAAGTAATTTTTGGGGTTAAAAAAGTTATGTCTGCGGTAGTAAGTTATGTCTGGTGGTAGTAATTTTTTCTGGGGGTAAGAAGTTATGTCTAGCGGTTAAGTTATGTCTGGGGTAGTAAGTTATGCGGGGTAAGAAGTTATTTTCTCGGTATAAGTTATGTCTGGTGGTAGTAAGTTAGTCTGGTGGAAAGAATTTAGCTAGGGGTAGTGTTTGTCTGGGGTTAAAAGTTATTTGGTGGTAAGAATTTATGCTAGGGGTAGAATTATTTTGGGTGGAGTAATTTATGTCTGGCGGTATAAGTTATGTCGGTGGTAAATTTTTGTCTGGGGGTAGTAAGTTATGTCTGGCGGAGAAAGTTAGTTGGGGTAAAAATTTTATGTATGGTGGTAGAAAGTTATGTCTGGGGGTTAAAAGTTTGTCTGGGGAAATAATTATGTTGGGGGTAGTAAGTTATGCGGTTTTAGAAATTTTAATGTCTGGTGGTAGTAATTTATTCTTGGAAGTAAGTTATGTCTCGGATAAGTTATGTCTGGCTATTTTTACCGGGAGTTCCCTGGAGAGATTTGGGGGGTAACCCCCCCGGCCCGGTCTTTTAAGGCCTCCTGGGGGATCACGCCTGATAAACCCAGGCGTTGCTGCGGCTGCACGAAAAACAACGTACGAGCCACGCCCGGCTGATCAGGAATGATTTTAGGTTTTGGGGCCAGTGCCAGCTTGAAACTGCCAGGGGTCTGTTGTAATCCCCCTTATGTGTGCGGGGAGGCAGTTGAACATTCTCGGGCCCCTGACATTATTGTATGGTTCTTAACGTGCTAGTGACACCCCTGTTTTTTCATTGGGGGGAGGGTGCATCGTCTGCCAAGCTTTTGTTTTCGAAGTGAGTGATTTTCGTGTGCAAGTTCGGTACAGCCCCTCTGGTTTTTTCCCCAGGTGTAATAATCATGTACTCTCCCTCCTGCGTTCCAGGGAATACGGGTTTTAAAAAACCTCAAGCCTCCCAGTAATTGAGGTGTTTATCTCCGTTATCGCCCCGGGAAAAATTTCCTGTATTTTTTCTAGGTCGGCAATTTCACCTGCCTTGAAAGGGCGTTAGAGGCACAAAAAATTCCCCCTAGAAGAAAAGTGACCTGAAAGTGTCATCAGGGCTTGGCCCCCTAGTTTTTTAAGGTTTTCCCTTTTCCCCTGTCATTTTTCTAGCAATGCGATTGATACAATGTTATGGGCCTTGAAGGTGGATCCCCCGACAAACCCCTCCCGGGCTTTTAGTTGGGGGTTTCGCCTATTTGTGGGCCCGAATTTGTTTTGTATCTGATGAAGATTTAATTTTTCTGTTTCCATATCTGAGTAATTGAAATTTCTCATCGTTGAACTTTATATTTTTTTCGCAGCCCACTGAAAGATTTGGTTGATGTCCGCCTACCCGCATTCTGAATGGAAAACACGCATGCAATTTGGGTGTCTTGCAAAGGAAGACAGGTGCTGTGGGTGACATCCTTGCTATGCGGATAGAGGATGAGGAACAAATGGGGGCTGTACGTCCTTGTGGGAAAAGAGCTTTTCACCGACTGCCTGGGGCTTTTTTTTTTTTCTGTTTCGACTACTCTCTCTTTCTGTTAGTGAGGGAAAATTTTAGATCCATCGACCGGTTTTTCCCGTTTTTCTTTAGCGCGCATTTTGGCGCTATTTCGCCATGGTCACACTTTTCGAAGGCTTTTGCAAATCGAATATTACATCGCATTCTTTTTGTCTTCTAGTGCATTTAGACCTTTTCGTATGATCCAGTGTTGAGACAGACAGGACGACCCCCTTTCTAAACCCATGTTGCCCTGGGTTTGTAAGATGGGTTTCAAAAGGGGGGGTTGATCTTGCTTCTTAGGACCCCCTTTTAAAGATTTTTTGATTTTGGGAGTTAGTGCTTGGTCTTTTTCTTTTGGGGGTTTTCTTTACTGCCCCCTTTGGGAGTGGGTATTCTGTTTTTTTTTTAGTAACGAGGGACGACCCCCCTGTCCCCGCTCCCTCCCATAGGAAAAAGGAAAGGCCGTGAAGGGGCTTCTTGCAGTTCTTATGAACAAAGTTCCAGAGTCTGGGGCCCGGGGCAGAGTGCAGGGGTGTCTTTTTCGTGTCGAAGATTTTGGGGTCAGGGTAACACGGAGGCTTGGTTAATCAAATTTTGTGGGTCTCTCATAAAAAAATCATTTTGACTTCGACTCTCAGTCTGGTTTAGCGGGTTGCTAAAAACTGGTCTATTGGGACTTGATTA